GTTGTAGGTTAGGGGAAAGTTGTGAATATTTCTACAGCACAATAGAGTGAGACTAGCCAGTTAGGAGTTAGACTAAGAATGTCATTGGTCGGCTATTGATGCAGGGCTTTACCTGCTAGTTTTACTATACCAGCCATCTATTTCGTATTTCGTATTCTGTATTTCATATCTCTTATACTGCTGTTATTTTATTATGCATTTTTATGGTACTAATATATTGGCTCCTGTTGCTTTTTTTGAGCCGAGGGTCTCCTGGAAACAGCCTCTCTACCCTTCGGGGCAGGGGTAAGGTCTGCGTACATATTACCCTCCCCAGACCCCACTTGTGGGATTATACTGGGTCGTTGTTGTTGTTGTTGTTAATAAACAAAGAGACTGAATAGCATGCCTAGTCAAGTATATTCCATTAAGCTTTTAAATGTCTGATGATAGTATTAGCTATTTTCTGATTTTAGGTCGGCTAATTTGTTACTTTACTATAAGCTTAGTTTTATGAAGTATGAAATCTGTTCTATTTGTCCTTTGCTGCAAGTTGCTAGAGATAAACTTCATTCTTCAAGACGTGGACAAATTTTTACTCTTGAAACAAAAAGAACAACTTGAATTCAACTTGAATTAATCCTGCAGCATGATCCAATTTTTATAGCTTCTATTGTTGTCACTGATTTATGGTCTATTGTTTATTTTTCTTCTTCTCGAGCCGAGGGTCTTTCGGAAACAGCCTCTCTATCCCTCCGGGGTAGGGGTAAGGTCTGCGTACACTTTACCCTCTCCAGACCCTACTTGTAGGATTTTACTGAGTGGTGGTGGTGATTGTTGTTGTTGTTAATTTGTTAATTATATTTTTGTTTGATTGTTTGTAGCCAAGTAATACGGCTAGCAGATCTATTTCATAGATATAAGAAGACATCCTGTGGAAGTAATCCTAACGACAACCATTGAAGTTGCTTGCAAATGTATTAGATAATTAAGTATCGTACTCGATTGAATGGTCATAGTAGATCTTTTGTCCATAATGGTTGGAGTGGATGTTCTGTTTATTGTTAGTTTTAAGACTAATTATAATATTGATGTTTTGTATTTAATGGTTGGAGTAGTTGTATTTAAAGCAAATTTTTGAGATTAATGATAATTTACTTTAATGTATTGTGTCGTTTATTAATATATTGATGCTACTTGATTCCAGTAAGCAATTTATATAATTTGTTGATGCTTCATTATATTAATATAATTGAAACTGGAATAGTTATGGAGTAACATTATATTGTAGAAAAAAATATATTCAATGAATAGCGGAGGTTATAACTGCCGTTATTTAACCTATAATAATATTGTGTTATAATTGTGGGGGTTAAATAAAGAAATTGCGGGGGTTAGACCTCCGCTATTTTTTAATAAGTGATAGCCAAACTACCAAATTGCGGAGGTTATACCGCCGTCAAATACCCGATGCTATATGATAATGGTAGTCTGTCAAAAAAAAACCGCAAATTGGTTGTGGCGAACATTATTGCGGGGGTTTTGGAACCGCCGTAAAAGTATATTGCAGAGGTTTTTGACCGCCACAATATGTAAATAAAACCTCCGCAAATTTAGCATTTTTTTGTAGTGAAATAGTCAGTGTTTTTATTACTTCATTAGAGACTTCATAGACTAGAGTAACAGTTAGAAAGAGTCACATGCTTTTCATGTTAAGCAATGTTGGCTACAGATATGTTTCAGACTTGTATTAATGTTTTCATACTTTGATTTATATCATTCAGACTTTCAGTATATCAGCATGTGTTAGTTTATCTTCCGCATTCAATATGTTATGATATCACATGTTGATTCAGTCAGCCAGTTGGGTCGCTCGGTCATATGTAGTCAGGCACCGGGTGTCGTGTTACATCTAGGCCCAGGTTCGGGGCATGACATATGAACCGCATCTATCTTCTTTGGATCCACCTTAATCCCCTCCTTGAACACCACATGGACCAAGAACGCCATCGAACTAAGTCAAAACTCACATTTGGAAAACTTGGCATAAATCTTCTCCTCCCCCAGCTGCTGTAATAAAATCCTCAAATGTTGGGCATGATCCTCTTGGGTACAAGAGTACACCAAGATATTATCAATGAATACTATGACAATTGAGTCGAGATATGGCTGAAATACACTGTTCTTAAGATGCATGAATGTTGGTGGGGCATTGGTCAGCCCAAAAGACATTACAAGGACCTCATAGTGACCATAACGGGTCCTGAATGTCGTCTTATAATATCCGATTCCCGAATCTTCAACTGGTGATACCCAGACCTCAAATCAATCTTAGAGAACGCCCTTGCTCCCTGAAGCTAGTCAAATAGATCATCAATGCGCAGAAAAGGATACTTGTTCTTGATTGTAACTTTGTTCAACTACCTATAGTCGATGCACATCCGTATAGTACTATCCTTCTTCTTCACAAATAGAACAGGTGCACCCCAAGGCGACACACTAGGACTAATGAACCCCCTATCAAGAAGTTCCAAAAGTTACTCCTTCAATTCCTTCAACTCAGTTGATGCCAGACGATACGGAGGAAAAGAAATGGGCTAAGTGCCTGGCACCAGATCAATAGCAAAGTCAATAACTCTGTCGTGCGGCATGCCCGGGAGGTCTGCAGGAAACACATCCGGAAAGTCTCGAACCGTTGGAAAAGAATCTATTGTAGGAGTATTAGCACCAACATCCCTCACCAAGGCCAAATAAGACAAACACCGTTTCCCAACCATCTGTTGGGCTTAAATCAAAAAATTACCCTGCTGGGAACATAATCTAGAAAACCCCTCTACTCAATCTTTGGAAGCCTCGGCATCGCCAATGTCACGGTCTTAGCGTGAAAACCCAGAATAGCATGACATGGAGACAACCAATCCATACCCAAGATCACGTTGAAATCAACCATACTAAGAAATAAGAGATAAACTTTAGTCACCAATCCCTAATAGTCACTACACAAGACCGATATACACTGTCCACAATAATAGTATCACCCACCGGCGTAGATACATGAAGTAGTGAAACTAACGACTCACAGGACATATCCAAATAATAAGTAAAATAGGATGATACATAAGAATAAGTAGAACCAGGGTCAAATAATGTGAAAGCATCTCTGTGGCACACTGAGACAATACATGTGATCAATACATCTGAAGCAACAACATCTGACCTAGCAGGAATAGTATAGAATCGAGCTTGACCACCACCTGACTAGCTTCCCCCTCTATGGCAACCTCTAGCTGGCTGGGCCCACCCTGAGCTGGTTGGGTGGGAGGTGAAGTAACTAGTGCGAAAGTCGCAGTCTGACTCCTCTAATGAACTTGACCTCTCGAGCGACAGGGACACTATCACCACATATGCCTAAGGTCCCCGTACTCAAAGCAACTTTTCGATTGTGGTGGTGGGGGCTGAATCAGGCCTGGAGTACTAGAGTAACTGCTAGAAGGAACTGACACAGATGAACGCAGAACCGATGGAGCATTGGATAAACTCTGAGCTAGGAGAGCATTGAGAGATGACTGACTCGAATGGACACTATATGAACCAAGGCTAGATGGTGCACCATGATGAACTGGATGAGCCATCTGAGCGGGCCTATAAGGACGACCCTTGTTGTGGTAGGACTGCCCAGAAGGAACACCACTTAAACAACTCAAACCAAGAGGCCTCTTGGCCTCCCTATTCTCACGCTCCTGAATACGAACCATCTCTAGCTGTTGACCAATATCAACCACCTCATCGAACGTAGCACCTGATACACTCTCCCGAGTCATAACAAAACATAACTGATAGTGGGGGACATCAATGAATCCCATATCCTCTCCCTCTCAATGGGAACCAACCAAACTGTGTGATGAGCTAACTCTTAAAATTGCATCTCATACTGGGTGACAGACATGCCCTCCTGTCTACCTGCTCGAACTGTCTGCGCAGCTCCTCTCTGCGAGTCTATGGCACAAACTTCTCCAAGAAGAGAACGGAGAACTCATGTCATGAAAGTGGTGCTACACTGACTGGCATGCGCCTCTTATAGGCCTCCCACCATCTGAAGGCAGCCCCTAATAGTTGTTATGTAGTAAAGGAGACTCCACTAGTCTCCAGAATACCCGTCGAATGAAGAATCTGCTGGCACCTATCCAAGAAGTCCTGGCAATCCTCTGACTTTGCCCCACTAAATGATAGAGGCCTAAGCCTCCCAAATATCTTTATCCCCTTCTACTTTTCATCATTCATAATAGGACCCACCTGGGCTTGAGCAACTACAACCGGTTAGGCTGGTAATACCCATGGTGTCTGAAGTCCCTCCATCACTTGCTCTGGAGTGCGGGTGGTATGAGTCTAAGTACCTCCCCCGGCCAGAGAAGTGGCTGGCACAGTTTGAATAGAAACTGCCTAAGCAAGTCTAGTGCACATAGCCAATATCTGAGCCAAAGCCTCCTGAAGGCCTGGAATCACAATGGGCATAGCTGGTGCCTAGTTTGGCCCCACTGGCTCGACCATATCTGGAACCTGCTCCTAAGCTGGAGCAACTGGAGGATCTGTTGGTGCTACTCTAGCTACTGCATGAGTTGCATCTAAGCCCCTACCACGGCCCGACCTCTCGTGGCCCTAGCCAGTGGTATTGGTGGATGTCTGTCCGATTCGGTAGCACGTGTTCTCACCACCTTTGAGAGAATAAAATAACAAAAATTTAGTTCCCGAAATCAACAAATTCGCACGACAAGAATACAAGAATGTGAAGTTTTCTTAAGGGTTCGGTGGCCTCTCGAAGATAAGTACAAACATCTCTGTACTGATCCGCAAGACTCTACTAAACCTACTCATGACTCGTGAGACTTATGTAACCTATATTTTGATACCAACTTATGACGGCCTAAAACTCAACCTGTCGTGATGGTGCCTATCATGTTACTAGGAAAGCCGCCAACTCAGACACTTCCAACACTTTCAAATTTAAAATATACTAAAACATGTCTTAAATAAGTAAAAGATCTCATAAAAACCGAATAAAAAATGTCACAACTCGATACATAAGTTTCCAAAGCCAGGGTGTCACTGAGTACATCAGAATCTACACAATACAAATCTAAAACATTGTCTAAGAAATTGAAACTGAATAAGTAAAACTAAGGGATAGGGGAGGAGAGTCAAGGTCTCCGGACCCCAGGGCAACTACCTTGATAATCTCCAAATGATGATAAACTCTAAGAATCAGCAACCACCATGTCTGGAAATACCTGGATTTGCACATGAAGTGCAGGGTGTAGCGTGAGTACAACCAACTCAGTAAATAACAAGTCTAACTATTAGGCAGAAAGTAGTGACGAGCTTCACATGTACAGTTCAATTACAGAATTACAGTAAGAAAATGTAGACATGTTTTCAATTTAACAGTTAAAGCCCAAATAGGTAAATCATGTCAAGTTTAATTGAAACAAGATATGGTACATCTTGGTATCTACTTGCCAGTTATATATGCCAACTAAATTACAAAACAATAATGAAATCACATGCATACTCTCAAAGTATCATTCACTCCATCCTTACTCTCACTTCATCCTCACAGTCACCCATCCCTCACAATCACTTATTCTTTACAGTCACTCCATCCTCAAAGTCACTCAATCCTCCCAATCACTCAGCACTCGCGCACTCGCTCAATAGGCACCTGCGCTCGCTGTGGGTGTGCAGATTTTTGGAGGGGCAAATCCAGCCCAAGCACTAGAATAAGCCAATCATGCCATGAATCAATAAAACTTGCTGCAATATGCAGCTCGATCCCATAAATTACCTCACAATCAGGCCTCACTCAGTCATCAATCTCTGTAGTATGTCGGGCTCACAAGAATCAGGATAATCAACCCAAATAATGATGATATGATGCAATAAAGGACAACAAAGACTGAGACATAATATGCAATAATAGATGTGACTAAGTACAAAATTGCAAATTAAGCAAATAATTCAACATGTAACATGACCTCAGTGGGTCTCAACAATACCAACGCGTAGCCTAAGCATGACTTCTAACATGACTGGCAACTCAATTTGTCTAACACATAGGTGGGAATATGGATAACGACAAGATTATTCAACTATACAGTTCCATGGAATCGACCAGATCACAATTCATATGGTGCACGCACACACACCCGCCACTAGCATGTGTGTCACCTCAACATTAATAATATAACACGTAATTCGAGGTTTCATACCCTCAGAACGAAGTTTAGAAGTGTTACTTACCTCAAACCTTGCAAATCTCTACTCCAATAAGCCCTTGCCTCGCGAATCAACCTCCAAATGCCTCGAATCTAGCCACAAATAATTTCATACAATCAACACGGGCTAAAGGGATCAATTCCATAAGAAAATACTAAGTTCTTAATCAAAAGTTAAAAAGTCAACTCAAAAGTCAACCCTTGGGCCCATATCTTGAAATCTGATAAGTCACAAAATCTGGAAGCCAACACGAGTCCAACCATACCAAATTTGCTAAATTCCGACACCAAATCGTCACTCAAATCCCCTTCAAAAATTCCACCTCAAAAATACACAAACTAGGTAGGAAATTCAATGTGAAAACAAGATTATTGAATAAAAATGATCACAAGTGATTTATCTCAAGAAACCCTTCGAAATCCCTCTCAAAAATCACCTTAGTCCGAGTTTGCAAAGTCCAAATGAGAAAAATCACAAAACCCTTCAGATTTAACACTACCAGTGCTTTCGTACCGATGACCTGTCACACCTCCTTTTTCTACCCCGAAAGGGTATAAGGGAGTTTTTCCAATTAAAGTGACAATAATCGAAACGGGATTATTTATTCAAATTCAGAGTCGTCACTTGGGATAATTTAGAGTGTCCCAAGTCACCGGTTTAAAATCACGAATCGAGGAAAGATTGACTTATCTGATCGTAGCACTACAATTCGTAAGGAATTCTGTTAACCCAGGAGAAGGTGTTAGGCATTCCTGGGTTCCGTGATTTTAGCATGGTCGCTCAACTATTATTATTGGCCTAATTATCTGATTAAGTACATATTTTATACATATTGTGCATTTTTATTCCTTTTTACCGCTTTTAACATTTATAGGATTATTTTTGGAACAAGTCACGACGTCGTACACTTGCCATTTTGGTACATGGTACAAACCGCGCTACATGAAATGCACCCGCGATTTACGACATGTTTATTTTAATATTATTCAATAGGGTCACATGAAATGCACTGTCGAATTGAGATTTACGTATCGCGACCATGCCACGGGAACCGTACCCATGACCACGATGAACTCATTTACACACCTAAAAGTTGGCCTACCCACGTGATGATGGCCTAGCATGCTGGTAGCGGTCCAATTAACGAGAGTAAGAATAAAGAACGACAAAATTATATCAAACTCAATCTCAAAACATATGGCAGGCCAAAATTTACATGTAACCCTTAGTCCTATTCCTTTTTTAAGTTCAGCACAAATTAAAATTAAAATTTCAGCACATATGGCAAGCCAAAATTAAAATTTCTGCGCAAGCTAGTTCGTAAGTAGTTTATTTCACATTCAGTTCTCAATATTTAATTTCCAAATTCGTGAGTTCCAAGTAAAGACAAATGCAACACAATTAAGAAACAACGAAACTTGCTCAAATAGTGACAGACCATTCATTCAATTTAGACAACTAGATTCAACATGATTACTAAGATAAAGTTCATTCAATCAACAGTCAAACATCAAAGTATTTACTAAATCATGCAAAAATAAGGCATCACATATATATGAGATCAAAGGAACAACAGATAAGGAAAGGAGATGGACCTTTATTGTTGCATATTCCTCAACGTGTATAACGACAGAAAATCTTCAATGCAACAATTCAATAACAAACTAAAGACCTGAACCTTGAACCGGAAACGGAGCTTCGAACGGATCTCATCTTCAATCAAGCTGTTACATTCGGGTATAGGAGTTCCATTTTTTCAGTGGGTTTTGTAGTGACGGGATGGTACCGATGCAACTTCTTCAGAACGGATTGGATCTCTCTTTACTTCTGGTTTCTGGATTGAAAATCGTCGTCGTCCCCTCTCACTCTGTTGCTGTTCGTTTTCAGTCGTCCTCCCCGTTCTACGTCCGTGTGTGCGTGTGTGTGAAGAATACAGGTGCTCAAGGGTGTTGTTTTGGTGAGGGTGACGTTAGGTTGAAGCTTAGGGGTCGTTGGTTTTGTTTTGTGTCTAGGAGAAGAAGAAAAGGGTCGTTCGTTGTTGGTCTCGCTGCTTAGGTCTTAGGGTTCCGCCAAAAGGGTTGAAGATGGAGGGGTGTCTGCGGCGCTGCTGGGAGCTTCTTCTTTTTCGTTAGGTTTTTTGTTAGGTCTTCCAAAAATCAGGGAAATGGCTGGTTAGGTCTCTTTATGCTGAAGGTTTTTTAGGAGTTATATCAAGCTTATGGATTTTTAGGGTTGAAAAAAAAAATCATGGGTCTAACGGGTTTTTTGGGCTTTAAAATTGAAATTGGGTTGGGTTCATGTCTTGTTCGATCTTAATTTTGGGCTAAGAAGACTAATTAAAAATATAAAACTTACTCTTAATTAATTAAAATACACTACTAAAATAAAACTAGGTATTAAAAGTGAAACTATTTTTTGTATTTTCAAATATTATGAGAGGTAGATAAACTAAAAATAACTAGATAAAATATTGATCAGTTAAATAAAAGAAAATATTTTTGTAATTTTTATATTTTTGATAAAATAAAGCGAAAGAGTCAAAATTAGTTAAAGTAGCGATATTAGACCTAAATTAAATATTTAAATGCTAAAATATGTAAAATCTTGGGGAGGATCAAAAATTACATGTCTACAGGACACACTTAACTGCATTTGCGGTCTCGCAGGTGTGAACACTTCCCTCCGCTTCTGCAGTTGTACCTGAAGGTCTCTGCCTTCGCTTCTGCGATCCCACATGCGCAGGTGTGAGTTCGCATATGCGAAACTTTCTCGTACCTGCAACGACTGCACACCCCTTTCCATGTCGCTTCTCTGATCCCTTACTCGCACCTGTGATCAAATCTCCGCAGGTGCGATCGCACCAGACTTGGTGCACTATAGCAATCTATCAAATTTCAAACTTGATCCGTTAACCATCTGAACTCCACCCGAGGCCCCCGGGACCTCAACCTAATATACCAACAAGTCCTAAAATATGATACAAACTTAGTCGAGTCCTCAAATCACATCAAAAACATGAATCGCACTCCAATTCAAGTCGAGTCCTCAAATCACATCAAAAACATAAGTTTTTATTAAACTTAAGGAATTTCAACTTCTACAATCGATGTCGAAACCTATCAAATCAAGTCTGATTAATCTCAAATTTTCCTCACAAGTCATAAAAGACACAACAGTCCTACTCTTAACTCTCAGAATCAAAATCCGAGCCCGGTAACCACAAAGTCAACTATCACGACCCAAAATCTGACTAGTCGTGATGGAACCTAACCCAACCCACTAGGTAAGCCAATCAATAACTAACCAATTCACTAAAGTTTAATAAAACAAATAATTAAATAAAATATCTTAATCTTATACATTTTCTAAGGACTAGAAGTACAAATCATGAGCTTCTAAGATTACAATTTACAAAGCTGGTATGAAATAAATACATCATCTGTTCAAAATGTACATAAACGTATTATTATAAATCTAAGGCTACCACTACAACAAATTTGGCCTAAGACCACACTAATTTTAAACAACGCTTAAAAAGCGTTGCCAAAAGTATTTGTGGGCACGCTTATAAGGGTGGCCTTTGTTGAGAGTTTTAGGCCACACAATTTAGGCAAGTACAAGCGTTCTTTTTAACTACGCTTTTTAAGTGTTGTCAAATTATAAAATATTTGACAACACTTACTCACAAATATAGCAACGCTTTTAAAGGGTTCTGTTTATTCATGCTAAAAGTCGCTCTTTATAAGTGAATTGAAAAACTTCCAATAAAATTCCCCCAAATATTTCCCCCCATTATTTCTCTTATGTGAAATATCCCCCCCTTCTGAAGAGACCTCTAAAATATTTCTCCTTTGAAATTTTCCAATCCCTTTCCGCGTACCCCGACTCCTCCACCCGCTTACAACGACCAAGTCTATTCAGTACAAAAGATGGAGTTTCGGCAATGAAACTAATTGAGATGGTATTGCATGCACTGACTCAACTTGTGTTGGCACCTTCGGCGACACTTCCTCTGCAACACCCAGTCAAGTGCCGTCATCGATTTGTCTGCACCTTTTGTTCCTTTACGAAAATCGATAACTCTGCTTTCATACTTGTATGTGCTGATTTTGTCAAACCCACTTTGATTAATCTCTCTTTACTATTACTTTTTTGTGCTTAATTTCTTTTCTTAGAACTAAATATAATTTTGGTACGGATTTTTAGTGTTGCACTCTAAATCTTAAAGGACTTGAAGTTGCGAAATAAAAAAACCTTGTTGCACTTGAATGATTGTTTAAGGGCTTCTTGTGCTTATTTTCCCCTAATATTTTCAGGTTTCTATCATAATTTTTTGTCATATTACGAAAGAAATTAGTTTGCGTTCAATATCTTGTACGCCTTATAAACTAACCCATGTCCTAATATTGAAGTGTGTTCAATTTTTGACAGTTTATGCAGGGGCGAGATAAGTAGCTATGACTATCAACGACAGAGGTAAAAGACTTGAAAATTCCTCTCTAGAGGGAGATAGGTGAGAGTTTGATTTTGTACAAAAGAAACTTCAATTCGCTTGTGTGTATTATTGGATGGTCGTAGATTTAAGGGAGATGGGATGGGGTGGTAAGAATTTTTTTAAAAAGTAATCTAACATAGGATGTGCATTTGTGGCTTCCGCAATAGCCAAAAAATATCTCTATAATGTTCTTTTCATAATCTCATGAGACTTCTTTAGCTTAACTAAACATCATATCTGCTATTAAAAGCTACATGGCATATGCAATCTTGATTGCTTTCCTTTTGATGAAGTCGATGCTCCTTCCAATTTTCCTCTTGATTGAATTTGTGTGCATTATTACTGAGAATTCTTTGGTTTCAGCGCAAAGCTTCTTTCTTTAAAAAAATGTGACATGATCAGTTTGTGCTTGTGTTTTATCCTTTTCCTTTCCTTTGGATATATACTTGCTCATTACTAAAAGGTTTTATATTGGATTAATATGAATATAATATTATTTTTTGATAGGTATAAATATGGTATCGTTATGTGAAAAATCAGGTATGCATTGATTTATCAGCGAGTGCTTG